GCCGGGCGGGCCCACGCAGGGAGGAGGCGCCGCCGCTGGCGGGGACGCGGGTTGGCGCCCGCTTTCGGACCGGACGTTGCCCCGTCACGGCCAGGGACGCAGACAGGAAAACATTTGGCTGCCTGACATCGCTTTCGGGCCAGGCGCTGCCCCATCCGGGCTGGGGAACGTAAGGCGGGAGGAGATCTGGGTGCTCAGCATCCGCAGTAAGCCAAATGTTTCCCATCCTGGCTTGGGGGATGTGGGCAGGAGGCAATTTGGGTGCTCAGCACCTACTTTTGGGCCCAATGTTACCCCATCCAGACTGGAAGAGGGAGACAGGAGGCAACTTGGGTGCCCAGTATCACCTCTTGAGCCAGATGTTGCCCTGTCCAGACTGGGGGGCAGACACAGGACGCTGTTTGGGTGCTCAGCACACACTTGGGCCAGATGTTGCTCCCTCCGGACTTGGGGATGGAGACAGGAGGCAATTTGGGTGCTCAGCACCTGCTTTTGGGCCAGGTGTTGCCCCATCTGGACTGGGGGACACAGGCAGGAGGCGGTCTGGGTGCTCAGCACCCATTTTTGGGCCAAACATTGCCCTCTCCAGGCCAGGGGCCGCAAGCAAGAGGAGATTTGGGTGTCCAGCACCTACTGCAGCTCTGTACGTTGGCCTGTCCTGGCCAAAGGACGCAGGCAGAAGGAAATTGGGGTGCTCAGCACCCACTTTCAGGCCAAACATTGCTCCCAAACCCCTCCTGGGGGAAGCCTGCTCCCTTCCCCCTGCTCTCCGTGCCTCTCGGTGCTGTGCTTGTGGGGTTTACTCCTCGCTGTAGCGATGGGGGTTGTGGAGGAGCGAGGGGTGAAGGTGTTTGTCCCTGGGGCCACTGGAGCCTGTCCCCACCTCGCAGCCCTCTTGTCCCTCCTCAGGTGCAGGAGCTGATCATCAACAAGGACCCCACGCTGCTGGACAACTTTTTGGACGTGAGTGCTGCCGGCATCGAGCGGGAAGATCGAGCCTCGCGGGTGCCCGGGCTGGCACCCATAAGAGACGGCAGGCTTGGCGGAGTCTCCCAGCTGGCCCTGAGCACCCTCCCCAAGATCCGTTCCTCCCTCCCCAGGAGATCATCGCTTTCCAGGCTGACAAGTCCATCGAGGTGCGGAAGTTCGTGGTGGGCTTCATCGAGGAGGCCTGGTAAGGACGCAGGGGCGCCGAGGGGGGCACAGCCACCTCCAGCCCCACTCGTGAAGGGCGTTTGCTCCCCGCGGGTGGCCGGGTGCTCAGGTACGGGGCCTGGAGGGATGAGTTTGCACCGGGAGAAGAGGAGCGGGATGGGGAACATGGCAGCGGTGGGCTTGCACAGCCCCTTTCCCCCCTGCCAAAACCGCAGAGCCGTGTCCCTCGTTTGCTGCCTCAGTTTCCCTGTCTCCCGGGGAGGTGTGGGAGCACCCCATTGCCCACGTCCCGCTCCGTCACCCTCCTCTCCCCCCCAGCAAGCGGGACATCGAGCTGCTCCTGAAGCTCATCGCCAACCTGAACATGTTGCTGAAGGACGAGAACGTGAACGTGGTGAAGAAAGCCATCCTCACCATGACCCAGCTCTACAAGGTGGCCTTGCAGGTGAGCCCCCAGCCTCCCCCCGCGGCCCCCCGGCGGCCCCTCCGCCGGGGGCCGTCGAAGGCGGCGGAGGGGCTCCCCAGGACGAGCTGCTGACGCCTCGTGCCACCTCGCAGTGGATGGTGAAGTCCAAGGTGATCAGCGAGCTGCAGGAGGCCTGCTGGGAGATGGTGTCGGCCATGGCCAGCGACATCATCCTCCTCCTCGACTCGGACAACGACGGCATCCGCACGCACGCCATCAAGTTCGTCGAGGGGCTCATCATCACCCTGTCGCCCCGCATGCCCGACTCGGATGTGCCCAAGCGCCACGAGAACGACATCAGCCTCGAGCGCATCCCCAAGGATCACCCCTACATTAAGTACAGTGAGTCCCGGGCACGACGCGACGGGGTTTTTCCTCGCCGTGGCGCCCGCTGAGAGTCCCCGTGTCCCCGCAGACGTGCTCTGGGAAGAGGGCAAGGCCGCTCTGGAGCAGCTCCTCAAGTTCATGGTGCACCCGGCCATCTCCAGCATCAACCTCACGGCGGCCCTGGGCTCCCTGGCCACCATCGCCCGCCAGCGGCCCATGTTCATGGCGGAGGTGATCCAGGCCTACGAGACCCTTCACGGTAACCGCGGCTTCCCCCCCCAGCACCCTACGCCCGCTGGGTGCTGGCCCAGGCCACCCCCCTGCCCCCTGTTAACCCAGCTCTGTCCGTGTTAATGAGCTGAGTGTCCCCAGCCCTCTTTGGCCTCATTCCTGCGGCCTTCTCGGGTCCCCAGGGCATCGTAGGGTCCCCACAGTGCTCCCAGGACCACATCTTGTGTCCCCAGACTGTTTCCACACCTGCTAAGAGCCAAACCAAGCACCCAGGTGTCCTGGGTCTCCATGCTCCATCACCCACCTCCCATCTGGACCAAGGACCCAGGCATTCAGGATCTCCATGCCCCGCCACCCACCTCCCGTCTGGACCAAGGACCCAGGCATTCAGGATCTCCATGCCCCACCACCCACCTCCCATCCAGAGGGAGGACCCAGGCATCCTGGGTCTCCATGCCCCACCACCCACCTCCCATCTGGAGCGAGGACCCAGGCATCTGGGGTCTGCATGCCCCACCAGCCATCCAGAGCAAGGACCTAGGCATCTGGTGGGTGGTGGGGGGTGGAGACCCATCCAGATTGAGGACCCAGGCATCCTGGGTCCCTGCACCCCAACACCCACCTCCCACCCAGACCAAGGCATCAGCGTCTTGGCCTCCCTCAGCAGCAGGGTGGAGGACCCGGGTGTCCCCGTGCCTCTGTGGCCACCTCCCATCCGCACCCCGGGGCGTCCTGACCCGCCTGCCCCCCACCCAGGGCTGCGGACCCCGGTGTCCGGGCTCTCATGCCACTTGGCCTTCCGCAGCGAACCTACCGCCCACCTTGGCCAAGTCGCAGGTGAGCAGCGTGCGCAAGAACCTCAAGTTGCACCTGCTGAGCGTCCTGCGGCACCCGTCCTCGGGCGACTTCCAGCCCCAGATCACCACCCTCCTGGTAGACCTGGGCACCCAGCAGGCCGAGATCGCCCGCAGCATGCCCAACCCCCGTGATGTCCGCAAGCGGCCCCGTGACGAGCCTGACCCCACCCTCAAGAAGATGAAGATCGGTGAGCTGGGGCGACGCGGGCCTGCCACCTCCCCGGTGTCGTACTGGGAGCTGCTGGGCTGAGTGGGCTGGAAGGACTCCTCTCTGGTGGCCTCCCAGTGCCCCCTTGGAACTGAGGGATGGGTGATGGCAAAACGACCCCTCACGGGGTCGTCCCAGTGCCCTCCTGGGGACACTGCGGACAAGGAGTGGCAGAACAGACCCACCTGGGGTCCTCCCAGTATCCTCCTGGGGACACTGGGGATGGGTGATGGCAGAGCAGTCCCTCCTGGGGTCCTCTCAGTCCCTTCTGGGGACAGGGGGTGGCAGAACAGATCCCTCCTGGGGTCTTCCTAGTCCCCTCCTGGGATCCTGCCAGTCCCTCCTGGGGACACTGGGGGAAGGTGGTGACAGAACAGATCCCCCTAGGGTCCACCCAGTGCCACCCCAGGGCTTCCCAGTCCCTCCTGGGGACGCTGAGGCCGGTGGTGGCCAAGCAGCCTCCCCCCCACACACTCCAGGGTCCTCCCCGTTCCTTCCTGGGGACACTGGGGGTGGGTGGTGACAAAACAACCCCCAGTAGCCTCCTAGGGTTACTCCCCGCCCCTCTGGGGACACAGTGGGAGGGTGGTGGCCCCCCACCCAGGCTTGGAGCCGGGTCGGAGCCTCACCCGGGGTCCCTGCAGAGCCACCCCTGGGCGAAGACGACGAGGACAAGGACCTGGAGCAGGTAGCGGTACCGGCACCCAAAGCATCCAGCCAGGGCAGCGCCCAGTCGGACACGGACATCACGGCCGAGTTCCTGCAGCCCCTGCTGACGCCCGAAAACGTTGCCAACCTGGTGAGTGGGGCTGGGGCAGAGGATGCTCGTCCCTCCCAGGGACACCTTTGGCCCCCTGGGTGGCTGTTCCTGTACAAGGGACAGTCTGTAGGTCCAGTATGGTGTGTTGTCCTCCCATCCCAGGTGCTCATCAGCATGGTGTACCTGCCCGAGACCATGCCCGCCTCCTTCCAAGCCACCTACACGCCCGTGGAGTCCGCCGGCACGGAGGCGCAGATCAAACACCTCTCCCGGCTCATGGCCACGCAGATGACGGCAGCGGGCCTTGGCCCTGGTGCGTATGGGGAGTGAGGGAAGCTCCCGACGGGGATTCCCCTCAGCTCCGAGCCCCGATGCTGGCGGGTTTGGGGGGGGGCGCCCGCTTTGCGAGGTTGGACGAGCGCCTGGTTGTTCCTTAGGGGTGGAGCAGACAAAGCACCTCAAGGAAGAGCCGAAGGAGGAGAAAATGGCCAAGCCTGAGAGCGTGGTGATCAAACGGCGCCTCTCGGCCCTGTCCCAAGGCCAGGCCATCTCCGTGCTGGGCGCCCAGGGCTCTCCCGCCAACCTGCTGGAGGAAGAAGCCCCGCAGACCAAGCGGCGCCCCGAACCCATCATCCCCGCTACGCAACCCAGGTGAGCGCCGCAGCAGCGAGCCCTCAACCGCCTGCTGTGGACAAAACAGCGAGAGCTCACACCCGGCTCTTCTGTCTCCAGGCTAAGCGGCGCCGGTGGGCGCAAGAAGGTTTTCCGCCTGGGCGATGTGATCAAGCCGCTGAGCGACATGCAGATGGAGAAGC